GTAACTGCGAGAGGGATCTTGGCACCCTAGTGGACAATCACTTAAATATGAGCCAGCAGTGTGCTGTAGCTGCTAAAAAAGCCAACACAATCCTAGGCTGCATTAACAGAGGGATAGAATCAAGATCACATGAAGGGTTAATAACACTTTAAAAAGCTTTGGTAAGATCACACCTGCAATATCGCATCCAGTTTTCTAAAGGATGTATTTATCAGGGGCAGAAAGAACATTGGGATACAAGGTGAACCATGTCGGATAAGGATAAAAATCTATCTAGTACTGTATTTCTTGATTCCCATCTCAGCAGGTTTGGCTCATTGATTCTGCAGCTTTTTTTGGATTTGAAAACAATAAACATACCAATATGAATACTTAAGACTTTATTCCAAGGCAATATAAGCAAGTAACATAATCACACACAATATGACACAATAATCAGAGAACAAATAGGAATACTTAAGAATACGATATAACCTAAAGCAGAAATCAATTAGCACTTGTGATTTGTACCCTGGCACATATTTATTAATTTTTAAGAGACTTAACCAAGCATGTAGAATTTACAAGTAACATCAGACTTAAGTCCAGATTTGCAATATTGAAAACAAAATTGACTTCTGGCTATGTTCAAATGATCTTGTAATGTTGCATTAGGATGGTGACCAGCTGCCTTAAAGAATTTGAAGGCTAAGGAAATTATTAAAGCCTAGAGGAATGTTAACTTTGCCACCCTAAGAGAACTCTTATAGGCAGAGAGTTAATGAAAGATTAAATTGATTGGTTGAATATGTTATATTGAATATGGCAATGCCAACGCTCAGAAGCATTCTCTCCATATAGGAATGAAGGAAGTTTCATTATCTGTAACAGCCCCCAAATCACTGAATGGGCAAAGCCACCCAATTTGATTTGCTGCTTTGAAACAAGTCTGGGCTATGATTAGTGAGTCAAGATGATTCAATTGAAGCGCTCTTGAATCAAAGCACTGTTTCATCCTACCCTAATAATTTGCCATAAATATTTTACTGTTTGAAAATTATTTTTTGTGTCAGTTTTAAGCCAAATATACTGCAGGTAGAGTATCTTTTATGTCTTTGCAAGTGCAGCTGATTTATTTTAATCATTTTGATGCCTAAAGTACAGTACTGCTTTTTTAATTTAGAAACTTGTCTCCTTGCAGAACATTAAAACTCAATGAATTTTGCATGCAATAGATACATTTCTGCTGTAATTTATTATTATTATTATTATTATTATTATTATTATTATTATTATTATTATTATGTGGAGGAAATCAATTACATCAATTTATATCATCTGCATTATATCATTACTCAAATGATATAAATTGATGAAAATTTATAGGATGATACTACCACATAAATAATATCAAGCCTCATGATTCTGATTCAGTTGTTGTAGGTAAGTAATAATAATAATAATAATAATTTTATTTCTATACTGCCCTTCTCCCGAAGGACTCAGGGCGGTGTACAGCCTAATTAAAAAACAGAATAAACATCAATTTAAAATAATTTAAAAATATTAAATAAATTTGGCTTAATTTAAAACCCCAAAAATTTAAAACATCCAATTTAAAATTATATTGCTAACCCAGCCTGGCGGAACAATAGGGTCTTGAGTGCACAGCGAAATACCCGGAGGTCAGAAATCTTACGAATTTCCGGGGGCAGTTCATTCCACAGGGCTGGGGCTCCCACAGAGAAGGCCCTCCCCCTGGGTGTCGCCAGCCGACATGACTTGGCCGATGGCACCCTGAGGAGACCCTCTCTGTGGGAGCGAACTGGCCTGTGGGAGGTTATTGGTGGCAGAAGATGGTCTCGAAGGTACCCGGGTCCTATGCCATGGAGCGCTTTAAAGGTGGTAACCAACACCTTGAATTGCACCCGGAAGACCACTGGGAGCCAGTGCAGCTCGCGCAGGAGGGGTGTCACGTGGGCGCAACGGGTAGCACCCATAACCGCCCGCGCGGCCGCATTCTGGACCAGTTGGAGCCTCCGAGTGCTCTTCAAGGGGAGCCCCATGTAGAGAGCATTACAGTAGTCCAACCGGGAGGTAACAAGGGCATGAGTGACTGTGCGCAGGGCGTCCCGATCCAGAAAGGGCTGCAACTGGCGAATCAGGCGGACCTGATAAAAGGCCCCCCTGGCCACGGCCGTCATATGTTCTTCTAAAGACAGCCGTGCGTCCAGGAGGACACCCAGATTGCGAGCCCTCTCTGTGGGGGGCAAAGATTCACCCCCAATAGTCAGCGATGGCACCTGCTGACTATATCGGGACGCCGGGAGCCACAACCACTCGGTCTTGGATGGGTTGAGTCTGAGCCTGTTCCTCCCCATCCAGACCCGCACGGCCTCCAGGCAGCGGGACATCACATCAAGGGCATCGTTGGGGTGGTCTGGGGTGGAGATGTACAGCTGAGTGTCGTCAGCGTACAGGTGACACTTCACCCCAAAACCACGGATGATCTCACCCAGCGGCTTCACATAAATGTTGAACAGGAGGGGCGAGAGGACCGACCCTTGCGGCACTCCCCATGTGAGATGCCTCGAGGTCGACCTCTGTCCCCCTGCCAACACAAACTGCGAGCGGTCGGAGAGGAAGGAGGAGAACCACCGCAGAATGGTGCCCCCTATTCCCAACCCCCTCAACCGCCGCAGCATGATACCATGGTCGATGGTATCAAAAGCCGCTGAGAGGTCTAATAGGACAAGGACAGAGGAACAACCCCTGTCCCGAGCCCTCCAGAGATCATCCACCAACGCGACCAATGCCGTTTCTGTGCTGTGCCCCTGCCTGAAGCCCGACTGGCACGGGTCCAGATAGATAGCTTCATCCAGGTGTCGGGGAAGCTGTCGTGCCACCACGCTCTCAACAACCTTCACCACAAAACGAAGGTTGGAGACCGGACGATAGTTGGCTAATTCAGCCGGGTCCAGGGAAGGCTTCTTGAGGAGGGGCCTCACTACCGCCTCTTTCAAGGCAGCAGGAAAGGCACCCTCGCTCAAAGAAGCAGTTATAATCCCCTGGAGCCAGCCTCGTGTAACTTCCCGGGAGGCCAGTACCAACCAGGAGGGACACGGGTCCAATAAACACATGGCGGCACTAATCTTACCCAGAACCCTGTCCACATCCTCGGGAGCCACAGGATCAAACTCCTCCCAGATAACATTCTCAAGACCTGCCCTCGTCTCCTCCCGTGGACTCATCCAATCGGAGTCCAAGCCTTCCCGAATCCGAGCGACTTTATCGTGCAGGAATTGCACAAAATCCTCAGCACGACCCTGCAAGGGATCTTCCCGCACTCCCCCCCGAAGAAGGGAGTGGGTCACCCTAAACAGGGCAGCTGGGCAGTTCTCTGCAGATGCAATAAGAGCGGAAAAATGGTTAGATTTTGCCGCTTTTATCGCCACTAGGTAGGTCTTGATATAAGACCTCACCTGTGTCCGGTCGGAATCGGATTGACTAGTCCTCCAAATGCTCTCTAGGCGTCTTTTCTGATGCTTCATCTCTCTCAGCTCCTCAGAGAACCAAGGAGCCAATTGAGTTCGGCATCGGGTCAGAGGCCGCAAAGGCACGACGCGGTCCAAAGCTCCAGCGGCCGACCTTTCCCAGGCGGCCACCAGCTCTTCAGTCGAGTCGTGTGTCAGAGTCTCAGGAAACGGCCCAAGCTCCGTCAGGAACCTTTCGGGGTCCATCAGGCGCCTGGGACGGAACCATCTGGTTGGTTCCGTCTCCCTGCGGTGGGGGAAAGCGGTAGGAAAGTCCAGGTGGAGGAGCGAATGATCTGTCCATGACAAGGGTTTGATGTCTAGATCCCCTCTACCAAGATCATTCAACCACTGACCAGAGATAAAAATCAAGTCCAGAGTGTGTCCCCCTATGTGAGTGGGGCCTTGAACTACCTGGGTCAGGTCCATGGCCGTCATGGAAGCCATGAACTCCCGAGCCACCTCTGATGCCTCACCCGCAGATGGAAGGTTGAAATCCCCCATGACAAAAAGTCTGGGGGTATCAACCGCCACCCCGGCAATGACGTCGAGTAGCTCAGGCAGGGTCGCTGCCACGTGGCAGGGAGCCAGGTATGTGGCCAGCAAACCCATCTGCACCCCACGGCCCCACTTCACACAAAGGGACTCACATCCGGCTATCTGAGGAACAGTGGTCTCCCTCGGACAAAGACTTTCCCTAATAATCACCGCCACTCCCCCACCCCTCCCCTGGGCCCTTGGCTGATGAAATGCATGGAAACCTGGCGGGCACATTTCGACGAGGGGGACCCCCCCCCTCTTGGCCCAACCAGGTCTCCGTAATACCTGCCAGGTCCGCACCCCCCTCCGAAATAAGATTACAAATGAGGGGGGCTTTATTAACCACCGACCTGGCATTACACAACATCAGCCGTGGACCCTGGGCCTGAGACTCTGCACAGCCCAGGACACGAGTTGCGCTTTGGGGGCCGGAGTGTGCAATCACTCGAAGACAGTGCATGTGCACCCCCGACACTTGATGTGGCCCCCTGCGTCCGCCATACCTGCCCCTCCCACTTATCACATTGATGGAATTGCCCTTTTTTTCGCCACCCGGAGCCCCGGTTAGGTTACCCTTCTCGTCTCCTCCGCTGCGCCCAACCAACCCACCACCCCGCACAGTAGCTATATGGGCAACCCCTCTTCATTTAATTCCACTAAAATGATACTTTATTCTATAAACCTCAGCAGCAAAGACTTCAAAGAGAGTTGCCTTTTCATGTATGGACCTCAGTTATGAACTGATAACTTCTAATATTAATGTTGCTTAAATTCAGGCAATCTAATAATCCATTCTCAAATAAATTACTAAAAGACTCTTTCTTTCTTTCTTTCTTTCTTTCTTTCTTTCTTTCTTTCTTTCTTTCTTTCTTTCTTTCCTTCCTTCCTTCCTTCCTTCCTTCCTTCCTTCCTTCCTTCCTTCCTTCCTTCCTTCCTTCCCTCTTATAGTTCCAAAATCCAAATGCTTTCTCACCACCTTTCCGCTTTGGAACAGTTCCCAATGGCAGTACGGAGAGGAATATTCGCAACAATTACGAACTGATGCATGCCTATATGGTGAAGTTCAACCAAAGATCGGTGCAAGATGCTTTATCATCACTGAAGACAGGGTGAGACTGCTGCCTTCCAAATTTAGCATAAATAATAATGTTGACTGTATAAACCTACCTCTTCAGATATCTCACTTCTTCAAAATATTCCTTTTCCCAAATTATTGTATGCATTCCATTCCACACCATTGTCTAGAGGAGATATGAGGAAACTTTGAAGGATAAATATTTATATCCATTTAAGTCAAATGCAGTAAGAGGATCAGTAGTATGAAACAATGAACACACAGTGAAATGAAGACAAAATAAGGAAGTACTGGGGAATTTACTGGTGTTGATCCTGGGCAAACTGTCCATTGCATCTGTTCAAAGAACAACACACTTTATAAATTAAAATAGATAAATATTTTGGCCACAACACTACATTGTTATTAGGATGTGAAATACAGTTCACAAACATGAACAGAAAAATATACCTTCCTCGGTTACATATATGCACATGGGAAAAATCCCAGGAGGAGGAGGCAGCTACAGAGAGAAATAGACCTATCAAAGAACTCACTGGCAGACTACTAGAAGCACCGTTCCCCACTCTGCTAGCACTCCACAGCAATCCACCAAGCAGCTCTTTGACAAGCTGCCAGCAAGAGGGGGCTGGGATGAAATAAAGACCAAAAGCAGGGCCAGGTTTTATGGCCCAGTTAAGAGTTTTATGCTGTTTATAGCCAAGTGTCCTACTAGGATAAATATGAAAACCTTATAGAAATATGTGAATAATAAGAATAAAATGTGAACCGAACCAGTCAAATGGTTCAACAACTTGTCAAAATATAGCTAGTATTAAGTAATGCAATATCAAACACTCCCCTTTAATCTGCGCCCCACAAACATTCATGAATTTTGGGGGCACACTCTTCCAAGAAGATTAACCATTAAATGAGGCAAAGAGAAATTAGTGCCACCACTAGTGCACAAGGGGGTTGTTTTAAAACAAGAGATGGAAAAAGAAAGAAAAATGGGGAAAGATGAAGAAGGTCTTTCCCTTCCTGGTCTCTACATATTTTTCAAGAAATTGACTCTCTAAGAAAATGCCAGAATAAAATCCCTGTTTTCAGGGATTGAAGACTCTCAAAAATATAAACAGAATGATTTGCTCCATCTTCATCATAGATTTGGTGACAGAAGTTGTCTGTCTATAAATATTCAGTACCACTTTCATCTTCATGATGAGATTATTTGGGCAATATACAGCTTACATTTCTGCCCTTATATTGAGATATAACATGATCTCCAACCACTTGTCATATTTAAAGATGCTCATGGGACTCTTCACAAGAGCAGGGGTCTTGGCCAAATCTAATTTGAGTAATTACATTTTGCTTAACACTATCTCTCCAGCTGTTTGATTGGGAAATGGTATGCTTTACTGCTTTAATCACTGTGTACTTTTCCTAGGCATGTTGCCGAATTATTGCTACTTGGTTTTCATAGTTAAGGAGGGATATGTTATAGTGAATGAAGATGTTTTCAGGTTTGAGTTATGGAGAGAAGTGGAAGATGTTTTCTTGCTTGGGTTATGAAGGTATCTTTAAAGACTGAAAGATGCTGGAAACATGTGCATTGATCCCATGATTACTCAAATTTTAGTTCTGCATAAATATTTGTATTACCTGGATTCATTCTTTCTCACAGTTGATTTCTAAACAGTGGTTTGATTTTGTACACTTTTCTGTTATTCTTTCCCCTTTTTTGGGTTTTTGACATTCTGTAGGAAACTGGATGCTTTTATCTATGATGCTGCTGTGCTAAACTATATGGCTGGCAGAGATGAAGGCTGCAAGCTAGTGACAATTGGCAGTGGAAAGGTCTTTGCTTCTACTGGCTACGGCATTGCCATCCAGAAGAATTCTGGCTGGAAGCGGCAAGTGGATCTTGCAATTTTACAGCTTTTTGGCGATGGTGAGTAATTTGGATAATGAAGAAAAAAGATATTTTTACTAAGATTACTCCATAAAACCCTCCAGTGTTTTAACCTAATAGAGAATACTATTTCAAAGACTCTGACCCACTGCATCATAGTGGGTGTTTTACAGCCATTTATTTATTTGAGAGATTTACAGTTCAACATTTCAGTGGCAATTACCAAAGTGGCTTGTAGTCATAAACATCATTAGGAGGAGTTTCAGAAATCTCAAAGACACAGAAGCTATACTTTCTAAGTTTGTATTCTAACTGTCACCCAGAGAAGTTAGGAGGGAGGATAAAATAAAATAAATATACGTTGTAATTATAAATACAGAATTAAGACATTAAAAGGCAAACATGCTATTTATGTCAAAGACAGTCAAATCATTTTGGCATATTTGACAGGAACTCCAACAAGTATTTCCAGCCTCGGCAGTACATAAATACATACATATCCATCATGTGATTTCTTTTTGGATGAACGATATGCAAAGCGCAGACAAGATGTAAGAAGCAGTAAGCATAGAACAGCATCAGCAAGCTCGGAGTAATGCTGGATTTTGGTTGTACTTATGGAACACCAACAAAATGTGCAATAAACCACTGGTATAATGTCTGTATAATCAGGAGGACTATGTTGCATGTGGTGTAGATATAAAGATTACTCAGCTATTAAAGTTAATGATTTCTGTCACATCTTCTATCTTCCCAATTGCCAATTAGTCCCAGTACATTTTAAAACAAATCCTCAGTTCCTCCAGTTTTTCTTCTCAATCTACAGTTTGAAAATATTTTCAGCGTGGCATTATCCAAGTACTTGAGGTTTGGAATTTGATGAACAAGAATCTTTAGTCAAACTTTGCTTGGCCAGAATTGGCCAATAACTAAATACAGACTGCTTATCAATGAGCACTTTCTCTGCTTCAAATCTGCCAATAGTGAAATATCTTACACAGGGCTTTGTGTACTGTATGAGTTATATTAGTTTGCAGTTGTCTCCACCCCCACCCCCATCCTACAGCCTTTGCATCTGGCAAGATATATTTGTGTGCATGTGTCTTTGTAAAATATTTTCCTGATAGTCTGCTATAGAGGCAGTGGCAAGGGAGAGTTGATTTCTTAATGTATAAGGAAGTGCAATAAGAAATTTAAGTGTAAATCTCTCAGTAGTTCCATATCAGATTTATAGGTACACTGTGCTTTCCCAGCAACTCCTGAGTGTTATAAAATAGCATGTTAGCAAAACTGCATTTGAAGATTTTTTTTTCCCCCTGAGCTGGGTCAGATGAAATGTGAGCTGGGATGCATAGGCCATAGGATGCAGTAACTCCAACAGACACCAATGCCCTTAAATACTTGATGCACTCGCTGGAATGAGAGGTTCACCTGTCTCTGAAGTAGGTGAGGAAAAGAAACTTTGTCTTTTACATAGGTTAAGGAATATATTGTTAAGTGTTTGGTATGCATCGTCGCTGCTTTGAGTCAATGTCATCCAAGTAACAAAGGTGTGTTAGCAGAAGTGAAGAAAACACGGGGGGATAGGGCTGATTGTTAAAATCTCTAGTTGTCTGGTTTACACCTAGAGTTGTCCATCTGAGGATTATATGTATCTAAAATAAATATACCTAGACAGCCTGGTGGAACATTATTTTAATTAACTCTCTATTCTATTTGTATAGAAAATGGTTACTTGTAAATATTATTGGTTTCACTATTTTGACAAGGCTTATTATTTATAATATAATGCATACAGCATGATATTTAAAGTAACATGGTTGAACATAAGGCCTTGATGCAGGCATTGTGCAGATATATTTCCAACCTGGGAAGCAATGGTGATACGTGGGCATATGTGGTATGCCCAAAGTTACTTGGACCATTGTATTCTATAGCAGTTGAAGCTTCTGAAAATTCAAAGATCAAATAATTTGGGAATAAGGAACAAGATAATGGAGGACCAGTTACTTAGAGAGGACAATTTGTCCATAGAAAATGCTACTGATATAAATCAAAGAGCAGAAGTTGCTCACCCATAGTTGTTAATTACTGATAATTCATAGTCCATTATTCACCATCACCTGTATTAAAGACTTATGGAATGATACCAGCAGATCCAGTCAGAAATATAATTTTGGCTCTAGCAAAGAAACCAGAAAGCAAAACAACAACAAAAACCCCTAACCCCTCAAAACAAGGCAAACTATAGGCAAGAATAAAGTGGGAAGGAAGTATACCTGTAAATAGTGCCCAGCAAATGGCCAAAATGTCATAAATATAGAAAGTATAATACATGGCTGAAATATGCAAAAGTACAAAAACAATTTTAAAAATAGCATGAATCTAAAGAAGATAATTTCTTCATAGGCTTAATCAACAACAATAAATCAATTATATAACTGTTACTGGTGCAGAGATCAGTCTAGCAGTTGATCATGGATACAAAAAAATGACTTCTATCCAATAACTTTGTACAATCATATAATAATCCAGTAGACGCAGTGAGTGGATTGAATTCATGTTGAAATGAAAAAAAACCTATGTATTATGTAAAAAGACTATTATTAAATCCATGAAGCACCATAATGGTCCTAAAACATATAACAGTTTGCAAGTAATTAACTGTATCGATATCATCAATATATTGATAAATTATTACAGAAAAAAATCCTCCATGGTTAATGAAAATGCATTTTAGGAACAGAACTGAGCATAAAGTTGTATTTTATAATATTGTGACCAGGGTTGGGATCTAAATTTTTTTACTACCTGTTCTGTGGGCGTGGCTTATTTTGTGGGCGTGGGTTGGTGGGGGGTAGTGTGACTGGGTGGGGTTGCAGAAAGAAATGCTTTTAGAAGCCTCTGACAATCAGGCAACTCAGCTGGGATCACCAGAGGCTTTTAAAGGCATTTTTTTCCTACAGCCTCTTCGGACGAAGAGGTTGCAGAAAAAAATGCTTTTAGAAGCCTCTGACAATCCCAGCTGAGCTGCGCAATCATCAGAGGGTTTTTTTTTTTTTTTTTACTTTTAAAAGCATTTTTTCGGCCAAAGAGGTTGTAGAAAAAATGCTTTTAAAAGTAAAAAAAAAAAAGCCTCTGATGAGGTTGGCAGGGTAAGCGAGCGGCGACCGGGCCGGGGACCGGTTCGGGGGCGTGGCCAGCCAATGTTATTACCGGTTCTCCAAACTACTAGAAATTTTTACTACCGGTTCTTGTGAACCGGTGCGAACCGGGAGCAACCCACCACTGATTGTGACACTTCCAAGAATTCATCCATTACTCTTAGGAGAGATACACAATGCACAATATACAAGCAGTATTGAAAACAAAAGCAAAAGCAGAAATGAAGCAAAAATAATTATTTGCTATAATGAAGAATAAACTTCAGATTAAGGGGACCTATTATATGATTATTGTTTGCAAGAAACATGGATTTTGAGAATTTGCCTGAACTTAAAATAATTAAACTAGTATATTCAAAGAAAATAAACCGAGAGCCAGTTCGGTATAGTGGTTGAGATTTCAGGATAGAAACCAGGACACTGTGAGTTCTAGTCCTGTCTTAGTTACAGAACCATCTTGGTGACTTTGATCTGGTCACCTTCTCTCAGCCCTAGGAAGGAGGCAATGGCAAACCACTTCTGAAAAACTTTGTCAAGAATCTCCAACAATCAGACATGATTGAATGAAACAAACAAACAAACAAACAAAAGCAAAGAGAGCATTGTGACATTGTGATAGAAGAAATGGTGGTACAAAGATATTTTCAAAATATCTTTGAATAAATAATTTCAGTTCTGGTACACACCCAGATACATAGGTGAATGTAAATGTAATATGACACAGTCAATACATCTTTCAATGCATCTCCTTTGGGTTATACTGTATTCTGCTTTTGAAATCTTCTATCATGCTTTACAAAATTGATGGTAGGTATTCAAGCAACAGTGCTATACACAAATGACATTCTTGTATGGATCACCATAGAAGAACACAACTACCAGTTAAAACTGGTACTAGGAAACGTCAGGTCCTTAAATATGAAACTTATTTATTTATTAAATTTCTATGCCACCCATCCCACTAATATAGTGACTCTAGGTGGCTTACAATATCATAAAAGTGCTAAAATTAGAATAAAAAATTAAAAGGTAAGAATCAAGATGATGGGCAACCTTGGAGTGAGAATCTTCTCTACCTCGCCAGCTACCCCTAACATAGTTGGGGCCCCAGGTCAAGGGGCAGAGCCAAGCTTTTAGGCTCTTCTGGAAGTCCAGGAATGGAGGTGGATCTCACCTCTGGTGGGAGAATATTCCAGAAGTTGGAGACTATAGCAGAAAATGCTCTTCTCCTGGATCTCACCAGCCAAAGTCACCCTCCTGGAGGCTCTTATCAACCAGGAGGGCAAGGATCTAATAAACAAGTATCTGCACTAACAGCCCTGAGGACCCTGTATATTTCCTCAAGTCCAACAGGGTCAAAGTGCTACCAGATAACTGGATAAATATGCTCCTTGGACATCTCCAATGGACCTGCTCCACAGTTGGAATCTAACTGAGAATGAATTCAAGCAGTTTTATCCATCAGGTGCTGGACAAATTCCTCTGCCCTATAAATGTTCATTTGAGCCCTCTTTCCTGAGGAGGGACCAGGTGACCTTAAACATGGCCAACAGGCAGCACTCTGTGGATGCAATAAATGCAAAGAAATAGTGATGTTTCACCACTTTTACTGCCATGAGGCAGGCCTTCATGGCAGCACTCTACCCATTTCTTGACTCTTTTCAACACCCTCAACTCCTCCATGAATGGCAGGAGTGTCAAGAAGGTGATGGGCCTGATCCTGTCCAGGGTTCCAGCCACCTTCTGATTCGAGGCTGTAGCCAGAGCATCCACAAGCCATGCAACAGAGCAACTGGGATATCCCCCACCACCTTCCCCTGGAACCTGAGTCCATCAGTCACTGGGGGAAAACCATTTAAATAGGCTGGGCCTCTCTGCAAAAGGGGTAGCGGTGGAAAATCTCAAGGACATTGAAAATTGACCAAAAGCAAACCTTGAAGAAATACAGTATCTGAGAGATGTACTAACAAAAGATGGCATTAAACCAGACCTTTTTCCACACAAAAGGAAAAGCAATTGCAGATGTATCAAAACTGACATGCCAAAATGAAGTTCAGAGGATCATGGGAATGGTAAATTATGTCTCAAAATGTATTCCCAATGTAGTTGTCCACACCACAAATTTGAGGTCATTACTTTGCAAAGATGCCATCTGGCACTGGACTGATAAGGAATTAAAGTATATAAAGAATACTCCAAATACAGCACCTGTTATGCAATTTTATGATATATATTTTTTTAAAAAAGCAAAACAGCTGCTATTAAACAACTTACTATTCAAGCAGCCGAAGAGACTAACTGAACAGTATTGAATGTTGCATGACCAAGTTATTTTATTTATAAGGAGGGTGATATGAGGAAGGTTGTAGTTATTATCTTAAACCTGCCCATATAATAGAGAATAATAAAAAGTTCCTTGGAATATGTTAAGGTTTTTTTTTTTTTTGTCCCAGGTAAGAGCTGAATCCAAGCTGATTTTTTAAAAAACATCATTGTTCACCCCTTCTGCCATTGCCCCTTTACAAATGAACACAAGTGCCAGTCTTATCCAGCAGGTTGCAGATTCAGCTATGACCTCACAGACACGAATCTTTGATCACCTTTAGCTGTGTGTTCACAAATAATATTTGGCAAGTCTTCATAAGCCCCCTCAGTTCATGGGAAACAGGGAATAATCTCAGAAAAGAAACTTTGTGAGTCACAGGGATAAAGACTGCAAAGCATATTTGTCATTAAGAATGCGTTAAAATACCAAATAAAATTAGTTAAAAATAGAAGTCTCTATTATTCTGATTATCTCACTCACTCATACTCTCTCTCACACACACAAATGGATTTCATGTTTCATTTTTCCCCCCCAACTCTTTTATAGGGGAAATGGAGGAACTAGAAGCTCTCTGGCTCACTGGAATTTGTCACAATGAGAAGAATGAGGTAATGAGTAGTCAGCTGGATATTGACAACATGGCAGGAGTCTTCTATATGTTGGGAGCAGCCATGGCCCTCAGCCTCATCACCTTCATCTGTGAACATCTCTTTTACTGGCAATTTCGCCATTGCTTCATGGGGGTCTGTTCTGGCAAGCCTGGTGTTGTCTTCTCCATCAGCAGGGTGAGTGTATGCAATGTAATACAGGGATTACAATACAGTGGTGTATTTAGTTCAGCATAAAACTGAGGGTGACATTTGATCATTGAGCATGCATTTGAAATTGGATAGAGCTAGATCAAAGAAGTGGATAAAAGAAGTAAATTAAAACAAAACTATTGTCTCTAAATTAATCTTCATGAATTTAAGAGCGTCCTTCTTTTATCACATTTAAAATCATGGTTTGATAACAACTTATGAATGACCAATAGAGTAGCACTTACGGCCTTGGGAGGCTGCATGTGGTCCTTGGGCCATAGGTTGCACATCCCTTGCTTAAAAAAAGAGAAATATCTTTACCTCTTTGCAGCAAGCAGCAGAGCCCTGCACAAAACAGCTGAGAGCAAATCAGCTGAGAATTGGGAGGCTGATCCGATCAACTTGTGCTAATTAGGTTGTGCTGAAGCTGAAAGGAGCTGTTTTTTCTTGCTGTTTGCTTGCAAGAAGGTAACTGCTCCCAGAGGCAGAGGCCAAAGGGTGGGGGCCAGTAGGTGAGTGGGGCTACATTTGGTATATAAGACGCACCTAAACTTTCACCCCCTTTTAGGGGGGAAAAAGGTGCGTCTTATATTCCGAAAAATACGGTATATCTCGTTTTGATTATAAAATTATAAAGTTAATTCAAAATACGTTAAAATATCATATTATGTAACCAGAAAAATCAAATTCAGATATTGAACAAAAGATGGCAATTAATTTTGCTTGGGAAAGATATGTTATATACAGTGTTACAGTATGTTCTGTTTTCTTTGTCACAATTGCTGAGGAAGGACTGGAGCAAGTAGGACTTTGTAGGTCACAAGCTGTGATCCAAATGAATAAAAAAAACTGGGCTGAGCAGAGGGAAAGGAGATTGTGCCAAGTGAACTAATACATTGTACTTGGCTTGACAGTTTCTTGATTCCTGAGTGAACAAATCTCAGGACGGTACCCAAGAACATCTACAAAGTGTAAGGCTGGCCTCATTTAGGGTATTATAAGTAAGAAGGAGCATCTTGAATCAGAATTAGAAGCTAAATAGATCATAGATCAATTGACCATAGATCAATTATCAGTCTCATCATTCAAAAAATATATATGACAATGGAATTGAAGGTAGTCAGAGCTTCAGAGTAATCTTTTAGTACATTTTAGTAGTAATATTTTGAGAGAGGTAACAAGATAATGGTAGGCAGTGACCTGGTAGACTTTATTATTCAGAAAAAAATGAAATATGTCACATGTAAATTAAGAACAACATTCCTGGCAAGAACAAAAATGTAGATATTGGAAATAAATGCATGTTTTAAGATCATTTTGAGCAGAACCTCTAATCTACCAGAATATTTGCTCAAGTTCGATGCTTGAGTGCTTTCATATGGCATGACATATGAGCTCGGTTTCGCCTCCCACATTATTTAACATCTATATGAAATTTCTGAGAGAACTAATCTAATAGTGGTATCCAACCCAAAACAAATCTATTGAGGTCTTAAACTGATGCTCAAAGGCTGTCATAAACTGGATAAGATGAAACAAATTCAAATTAATTCCTGCCAAACAGAGTTACTGCTGGTCAATTGACATTATGACTATCCAGTAACATCAGCCCTTGATAGGGTTGCATTACCCTGGAGATAATCTGTGATTTGGTTCTGCTACAGCAGCAGCTAGAAGTTGTGTCCAGGGAATCTTTGGCTGGTGTGCCAAGAATGTATGTATGTATGTATGTATGTATGTATGTATGTATGTATGTATAAAATCAATATAGCAGTCTATCTCACAAAACATGACTCTGGACAGAATACAAACATAATAACAATTTAAAAAAATTCAAACATGAATAAAAAACAAACCCGTATATTGAAGGAAAAAACAATCACTTGACATCAGACAGCCACCTTGCAAGCTCACCATGGCATTCCCAAGGCTTATGGAAGAATCACATTTTAATGGTGTTCCAGAGGGCTAGCCTCACCTCAGAGGGAAAGATGTTCAGAAGGTGAGGGCCAAATCAAAAAAAGGCAACCTGAATTGGACCCTGAAGCAAACTGGTAGCCAGTGCAGGTCATGGACATAGGTGTAATGTGCACCACCATAATATCTGCATAGCTGCACTCTGCACCAGCTGAAGCTTTCAGATGCTCTTCAAGGATAGACCAATGTAGAGTGTTTTATAATCCATCCCGTATGTGACCAAAGCATGAGTAACTGAGTTGTAAAGTTTTATAGTCCAGGAAGGGGCACAACTCAAGAAGCCTTCTCTGGACCCGGCCGTTTTGGCAAACTATCGTCCGGTCTCCAACCTTCGCTTTGTTGCGAAGGTTGTGGAGAGTGTGGTTGTGCGACAGCTCCCACAGTTCCTGGATGAAACCATCTATCTAGATCCGTGCCAGTCCGGCTTCAGGACTGGGTACAGCACGGAGATGGCATTGGTCGCATTGGTGGATGATCTCTGGAGGGCTCGGGACAGGGGTTGTTCCTCTGTTCTGGTCCTGTTAGACCTCTCAGCGGCTTTTGATACCATCGACCATGGTATCATGCTGCGCCGGCTGGAGGGACTGGGGGTGGGAGGCACCGTGTTGCGGTGGTTCTCCTCCTATCTCTCTGACCGGTCGCAGTCTGTGTTGGCAGGGGGGCAGAGGTCGACCTCGAGGCGCCTTGCTTGCGGGGTGCCGCAAGGGTCGGTCCTCTCGCCGCTCCTGTTCAACATTTATGTGAAGCTGCTGGGTGAGATCATCCGTGGTTTTGGGGTGCGATGCCATCTGTACGCTGATGACACTCAGCTGTACATTTCCACCCCAGACCACCCCAATGATGCCCTCAAAGTGATGTCCCAGTGTCTGGAGGCCGTGCGGGTCTGGATGGGGAGGAACAGGCTTCGGCTCAACCCTTCCAAGACCGAGTGGCTGTGGATGCCGGCGTCCCGGTATAGCCAGCTGGTGCCATCGCTGGCTATTGGGGGCGAGTCACTGACCCCCACAGAGGGGGCTCGCAACTTGGGCGTCCTCCTGGACACACGGCTGTCTTTAGAAGAGCATATGACGGCCGTGGCCAGGGGGGCTTTTTATCAGGTTCGCCTGATACGCCAGTTGCGCCCCTTTCTGGATCGGGACTCCTTGTGCACAGTCACTCATGCCTTGGTTATGTCACGCCTGGACTACTGTAACGCTCTCTACATGGGGCTCCCCCTGAGGAGCACCCGGAGGCTCCAGCTGGTGCAGAATGCGGCCGCGTGGGTGATTATGGGAGCGACGTGGCGCTCCCACGTAACACCTCTCCTGCGCGAGCTGCATTGGCTCCCGGTGGTCTTCCGGGTGCGCTTTAAGGTGTTGGTTCTCATCTTTAAAGCGCTCCATGGCTTAGGGCCAGGGTATTTGCGAGACCGCCTCTGCTACCGATAACCTCCCACCGGCCAATACGCTCTCACAGACAGGGCCTCCTCGGGGTGCCGTCGGTCAGGCAATGTCGGCTGGCGGCCCCCAGGGGGCGAGCCTTCTCTGTGGGGGCACCCGCCCTGTGGAATGAGCTGCCTCCTGGAATACGATAAATTAATAAATAAATAAATAAACAACTGGCACACACCATGAAGCTATTCAAAGGATATCTTATACATGACTGCTACCTGCCAAAGACAGTAAAGTTTCAGCTCCAGAAGGCTCCAAAACTCAGTGCCACTTAATCTTCAGGGTTCAGCTCATCCAGGTTACTCATCCAGGTCCCCACAGTCTCCAAACACCGAGACATCAACATCATTGCTTAGCTAGGCAGAAGTAGAGGTATATAACTGTAAATCATCAGCGTACTGATGTATGGACTTTCCTTGCTCAAGAAGCCTTGATGACAACATCTAAAATTTTGATCATTTCACAATTTGTCTACCGCAATATCCTGAAATTGGGGGTACCTTTGAAACTAACTTGTAAGCTACTGTACACCTGGGGCAAAATAACACATTTGATTAGTCAAGTCAATCTGTTTATTTCTAATCCTAAAATCAGTTGATTTTTGGACTCAATAATTTATAAAGTCTTATACAGTATGCTGTAGTACAGGGATACACCAGAGACTTCTTTTCAAGTTTGATTCTGCCCATCCAGTCCAAATATTAAGAGACGGCCTGCTAAGTCACCCACTTCATGTAAATAACACAGGTGTGGGATTGTCTCTTGGGTGATCCTTTCTTCACACAATGTACTGTCCCTGTACTCAGTTCGGCGCAGCCCTTCATATATTTTTGAAGGTCTTTAAAAGCCAATTTATTTCAATGAGGTTTTGGTTTATAGATTGATTCTGGTTGGCTTTCTGATTTTATATTAAGTATTGGTGTTTTTCTTGTCTTGTTCTTTTACTCCTGTGTTTATTATTGTACATTCATCAGAATAATTTTGATTGATGCTCTTTAGCAAACCTTGTAAATAAAGAAATAGATCCCCAAATATAAAGGAACTAAAGCACAAGTAGGGGTAAAAAGTGAAATAATGGTTGTAGTAGTGGCAAAAGAATTAATGATCTGAATCAATGTATACAAATGCATATGGTCCTTCTCTCTGAAATGAGAACAACTCCAAAGGAAATATGTTGCCCAATTGAAAGTGATACCGTAAGAAACTTTGAAATATAAAATCTTATTTACCAAAAAACATTTTCCCAACTTCCAGCTCTGTAGCTTCTCTGCTAAGCTTCTCTGTTAACCTTTTTTCCCTCTTTTTCCCATTTCAGGGTATTTACAGCTGCATCCATGGAGTGGCTATTGAAGACCGTCAATCTTCTATGAATTCTCCTACTGCCACCATGAACAATACCCATTCTAATATTTTGCGTCTGCTCCGAACAGCAAAGAACATGGCTAACCTTTCAGGTGTCAATGGATCACCACAAAGTGCCCTGGATTTCATCCGCCGTGAATCATCAGTTTATGATATCTCTGAACATCGCCGTAGCTTCACCCACTCTGATTGCAAGTCTTATAATAACCCCCCTTGTGAGGAAAATCTTTTCAGTGATTATATTAGTGAGGTAGAAAGGACTTTCGGCAATCTACAATTGAAAGAAAGTAATGTTTATCAAGACCATTATCATCATCATCATCGCCCCCATAGCATTGGTAGTACCAGTTCTATTGATGGACTATATGACTGTGATAATCCACCTTTCTCTTCCCAGTCTCGATCCATCAGTAAAAAGCCACTAGATATTGGTTTACCACCAGCCAAGCATGGCCAGTTAGGTGACCTTTATGGCAAGCTGTCATTCAAGAGTGATCGATATAGTGGAGGAGGGGCACATGATGATTTAATCCGTTCAGATGTTTCAGACATATCCACTCATACGGTAACATATGGCAACATTGAAGGCAATGCAGCAAAGCGGAGAAAACAGCAATATAAAGATAGTTTAAAGAAACGCCCAGCCTCAGCTAAATCTCGGAGAGAATTCGATGAAATTGAACTGGCCTATCGACGGCGTCCCCGTTCCCCTGATCACAAGCGCTACTTTAGAGACAAGGAAGGGCTAAGGGATTTCTATTTGGACCAATTCCGGGCTAAGGAAAACTCACCACATTGGGAACATGTAGATCTGACAGATATCTATAAAGAACGGGGTGATGACTTTAAGCGTGACACTCTAGGGGGAACAGGGACGTGTACAAATAGGACCCATCACAAACATGGGTCAGGGGAATTTGGAGTAAACAATGAGCACAAGCACAGTGTTGTGAGTGGGGTACCAGTGCCATGGGAAAAAAACCTTACCAATCTTGATTGGGAGGAACGGCCAGGGTCTAATTATTGCCGCAGTTGCCCATCTAAGCTGCATAACTACACCCCAGCTGTGGTGGGGCAGAACTCCACCCGTCAGCCATGCATCCGGTGTGAAGCTTGCAAGAAGGCAGGCAACCTCTATGATATCAGTGAGGACAACTCCCTTCAAGAGCTGGATCAGCCATCTGCTCCTGTGCCAGTGGCAACCAGCACCTCCACCACCAAGTACCCTCAGAGCCCTTCCAACTCTGCCTCCAAGGTGCAGAAAAAGAATCGCAACAAGCTCCGCCGGCAGCACTCCTATGACACATTTGTGGATCTGCAGAAGGAAGAAGCAGCCTTGGCCCCACGCAGTGTGAGCTTAAAGGACAAAGGCCGCTTTTTGGAGGGAAGCCCTTATGCTCATATGTTTGAAATGCCAGCAAGCGAGTCCACTTTTGCCAACAACAAGTCCTCACTGCCTGCCACCAGCCACCACCACCACAACAATCCTGGCATTAGTGGTGGTTATATGCTAAGCAAGTCTCTCTACCCCGATCGGGTCACTCAAAACCCTTTCATCCCCACTTTTGGGGATGACCAGTGCTTGCTCCATGGCAGCAAATCCTATTTCTTCAGGCAGCCTGTGGTGGCAGGAGGGCCCAAGGCCAGGCCAGACTTCCGAGCCATTGTCACCACCAACAAGCCAGTGGTCTCAGCTCTTCATGGAGCTGTGCCAGCCCGTTTCCAGAAGGACATCTGTATAGGGAACCAGTCCAACCCCTGTGTGCCTAACAACAAAAACCCCAGGGCTTTCAATGGCTCTAGCAATGGGCATGTTTATGAGAAACTTTCTAGTATTGAATCTGATGTCTGAGTGATGGGAAAAAAGCATGGGAGGGGATGGTGCAGGAAATGCAAAGCATGGGAGGGGCAAGTGGTGGGTTTAGTCCTAGCTCCCATTTGCTACTCTTCTGCTACTGTTTCTTTCCTTTTTTTTAATTTTTAAAAAAGTGGAATATTGGAGTTCTGCTTAGGCAGAGCTGATGAGAAGTGCCACTTCTTTCTTTCCCCACACCTGAACTCCTAATTATCTCTTTTCATTTCCCTACTCACATTTCCATTCCTGACCATCACATGTCAGAGCTTACTAGCTTAGCTTGTGTTTTCACAGTTGGAAAGACAGGGCATGGATCAGGTGAGGTCAGCACATGGGTAGGGGCAATACCCCAATACAGAATTGGGGTTTTCTTAGCAGCAAACAGGGATGGTTAGTACTGATATGAAGATACCATATATGGTAAAGAGCAGAGGAAAGAAAGATTAGTTCTTTTTACATTTGTACTTTTTAAAAAAATGTGAGATACAACTAATGTGGAATTTATTTAATGAAATACATTCAGTTCTTTTATAAAGACTTTAGGGAAAGGGTAAAATTTGAAGTTGCATAGATACATCCTTGAATACGGTATATCTTGTGGAAAAAGGCGGTGTCGAGATCTGCTTGGAAGTTCAGTTACGGAAGTCCAGCAAGGCCATTTCTGAAGGATGGGCTGAAATTACAGAAGCTAGGACAAGTGAGAACAGGAAACTCTTACCAAGAGTCTTGAGAAAATTAAAAGGTGGGATCCCAGGGTGGGGAATCTGTCTGATTTTCTCTACTCATGAAAACTCATTGTTAATTTTGAAACCATAAACTTTTGGATGTAAATTGATTTGTGCACAGCTCTCTTAAATAATGATTTACATCAAATACAGACAACAAAAATAAAACCAATGTAACATCACTGAAGTATTTTTCTTACACACCCCAGCAGAACAAGCCTCTGCAATGTGGATGAATAAAAAGGCTGAACAATTAGAAAAGAAGGCTGGCAGCTCCATAAACTCCACTGTTCTTTTAATGAATTAAATGTGGAAGGGAGATTTCTCAACTGCCATGTCCTTGTTTCTCTTGCAAAAGGAGATTTTGAGAGACTACAGAAAAAGGCTTTCTCTGCTGTTGGAGTTGAGTAGAAAGTGCAGGAGGTGGTGCTGCTGGTGGGGAGAATAGGACCAGCACAACTCATACCATGTGTATATGTATATTTATTGAATATATACTTATATTTGATAACTATAGTGTTGTGGAACTATGGCTTGTCTTCCACAGGGCATGAGGAGATGAAATACCAGTTCCCACAGTTGCTGTAGTGGGGATCAGAAAGCAGAGTTAGCAAGAAGCAAGAAAGTTAAGAGGAGGCCAGGAGATGCTAAATAGGAAAAGTAGTATTATTTAGCAGCATTAGAGTTGTTCTGGACCTCTTCTCGGTGTAATGCAGTTATTGCTTGCAGCAGTTTTTTCTCTCAAAGAGGAATAATTGGAAATGTGAGTAGAACTACTTAAAGTGAGATTGTTTCATTTACATCAGGAACCCTCAGGTAAGAGCAACAGACTAACTGTTGCCTCCCAAATATGTGGCAAAACATCTCACTTTTTCCTGGGTCTGTTGATCTGCTTTCCTAACAAAACAAGAGGGCAGAAGTATCTCTTCTGAAAGAGCTGGCAGATTGCAATTGAACTGAATAAATGGAGAGGCACAAGCTCTGAACTCTGGAAGCAGCTGTTCTTTTTTGAGCCACATTTCTTGCGACTGATTCTCCTTTCATGTCCTTTCATCCACACCCCATTGGGCTTTATATTTTTAATATATTTGCTGCATTGAAGCCATTGGAAGGCACTGTCTTTTGGTAGAGAGGGTAAATATGGGCTTGAACTTTATTAGGTTATGGAAGGAGTGATATCTGGAAGAGCAGAATGCCTTTTACTTCGTTTTCCTTGTCCCTCTCAAAAAAGCTACTTTCCTAGCAGTCTGCAGCACACAATGTAACTGATGAATTCTTTAACAAAGGGCACTTGGGAAGGCATTCATCTCATTTGTAAATTGAGATTTTTTTTTTCTATTGCATTTTGTATAAAACTAGTGCTTCTCTTCTTGTGAATATTCAGGTTTTGAGAGGATATGGGTTTTTAGTTGTTGCATTTTCCCCAACAGTTTTCAGTCTTTGTATATGGAAGTAGCTTTATGTTGGCCCATACCATTACAAATGGGAAATAATAAGAGAAAACTGCATGTATTGAATACCTCTTTCTAAATCACACTTGTCACATTTTTCCTCATGTTTAGAAAATGGCAATGGATCATCTTAAACCTTACTAGCAAGGCTTTCATGTTCCTTGCTTGATTATAAACTCATAATCTTTATCTGGAATCTGGGCCCTGAAGCATTGTGCTGTTTTCCTTCAGATGGAGTAAATTCATTTTGAATGTTCAGTTTAAATTGCACCCAAATTACGGAACTTCTCCAAAGTTATATTAGCTTGGAAAGCTTGGGACTGGGAAATCTCTCAATTAACAATTAGTACTTAAAATTTATTAAGCAGCTGGGTTTGATCCTAGTGATGAGCGTGCCTCTGGGTCGCTCCCTTTCTCAGCTGAAACCAAAAATATTAGTATTGTAGAACTTCAAGAAAAAAATTCACTAAAAAGCAAGCCAAAAAAGATATTAACTGAACTCTCAGAATGATTTTAGATGTATATTTGGGGTATAGGTTTACTCTGGTTTTAATTTTCTTGCAATCTAGCTCAGTTTGAATATTAAATTCACATGTTTACACTATAGCTAAGATTTGATAATATTAAATTACCAATGTTAATTTGCGTGCACAGAGCATGAAACATGTCTGCTTAAAGATGAGTAGAAATGTTGGGGGACTTTCAATAACAGTTAATAAGAAGGTATTGTGTCTACTGCTTTAATATAAGAAATTAGCCTCTTGATCTCTCCATCTATCTTGAACATCTTATTTTTCTTTCTATTTAAATTTGACCAAGAAGAAGAAGGTTGGTTCAACCACATACATAGGTTATGTTTTAATTATTATTATTATTATTTTATAATTTAAAGTTCTGGATATTATTCCACTAAAAATATCAAATGTGGACATGATGGAAAATTTTAGCTGCAGGTGCTGTTTATGGAGACAGTGATGTCAGTTGTTTAACTTGCCAAAAATACATGAAAATTTGTATAATACACACACAAAATTGTATGTTCATCATTTAAGAAACTCAGTTTCCTCCTCCTGCTTAGAAAAATGGGATGTGTTCTTCAGTTTTCTCATTGCATAAACTTGATTTCCCCCGTGAACTAAGATTCATTGTCTTCTGCTTGGGCGAGTGGTTCTGCACCTGAACATACATAATTGACATTTTTGCTATTCAAATGCTTTAGGAGAATGTATTGAAATACTTTCTTAATACTAATTCTAGAGCCATGACCGTACATATGTTGTAAATGTGTAAGGAGATAAGGGATGTGAAGTTGTTTTTCTTTTTTTAAAAATGGCAGATTTTCCAAGCTGTTTAACTGAGTATGGCATGCTGCCAGACCACTTATTCTGGCATTCTATAACAGATGTGATATAATGTCTGCCAATGTAGCAATACACCATCTTATGTTATATCTTGCCATAATGTGTGGTGCTTCAGGAATATGGTGAGTGGGATATTTTGTATGTCATCAAAAACATCAGAGAAAATGTGTTGCCTTGTTTCAACGCTAATCTACTGGTTTTAAAACTTTTCCTGAAATTGTCTTCTAATAGGTAATCTTCTATTTGCAAAAATCCAACATAATTTCAATTTGGAGTCAAATGTTTTTTTAACACTGCTCATGGCAAGGAGGGAGGAAGAATGAGTAAAACCCCAGATTTCTTCATTTAAATCTGCAAGATATTCCAGGACTTCTAAATGAAGCCATTAACATGATACTGATAAACTGATTACTTTCTTTTTCTTTAGGTTATTATTATATAGAAACTAGAACAGGCATGTATGAGTTCCTTTACATCATATAGCATAGCATTCTTGCCAGAAAAAGCTAGTATGTTGTTTATGCTTATTTCCCATCTGCTGCAAAATGGGACTTCTGTTGGTTCCGGCCCATTTTGTCCACCGGATGACCAGGAGCTCAGGTTCCTGACATCAAAAGAAGAGGGAAATAAACTTTTCTTATCTGCTTTTATGTCCTCTCCTGTAAGTGCTTCCCTGCAATTGAACATACTAGGTTTGTCCAAGTGTTCATGTCTATTGTCCTGCTGGACACTGCTCCAATATGAAGAACATATTAATGGGACATCAGCTTTGTCCCTCAAGGGCTTATTTCCCGTTTGTAGCCAAATAGGCTTTTAAGCCATAATCCCCATTCTTAATATTCCTTACATCCTCACCACTGGAAAGGTTGGTTGTGGTTATAATTACCAGTTAGAGATCCAGCTTCATTTCCATTTTTGGAACCTGTCAAACTAAACCTCAAACAAAGCTCAAGCATCTC